GGAGTCTGCGCCTCCTCAGGCTCCCCAACTCTGAGGAAGAATCTCACTGCTTTGGGGGCACTTCCCATGTTGCTCATTCATACAGTGTGAAGCTACAGAAGGTGCCCAGAAACGCCCTACTGCCATAGTATGGTGGAAAGGCCACTGACTCTGGAGGTGGACTTGTGACTAGGAGCTATTAAATAAGAATGACAAGGAATAAATATTTTACCTTTTAGGTATTCCTGTTCCCTTTGTCTTTTGGGACTACCCTACCCTAGAACGTGAGCTAGGGCTCAGAGGGACTTTGCCCCTGGGATGGAATAGTACACCTTCCTAGCACTCAGTTTTGAACTTTTTAAATTGTTTTATACTATCTTTCAGAAGGCTTACCTCAAGTAAGTAGAACAAATGTTACCATCCCTGTGTGGATGATAAGGCAGTGGGAGCGCACGAGCAGGTGTCCCAGGTCTGGCCTCAACAGGTAAATAAAGCCCTCCTCAACCTGCGGAAGTGGAGTTCCCTTGCCTGGGACTAGGCGTCAACATTATGGACATTCAAGCCATTTTGCTCCGTGGTAAATTATTTTATATCTTATAATTCTAGCTTGCCATATATCAGTGTAATAAATTAAACACAAATTCAATGTTTCTATGTGTTGCCCAACAGTGTGAAAGCGCCCAGTGTTGGGAAAATAAATACAGACACACCATTCTCTTATCTCTTCCCTGGGGCCAGACCCCACAGCATCTAAGAAGATCTGGGTTCACACAGACGTGATTCATAGACTAAAGCACGTGTCTTCAGGCGTCTCTAATCCTTGTTATAAGTGACAAATACTATATAGTACCTTTTGCTGTAAGAAATTCATTCTGTACAGAGGTAATTTCAGCACTGAAAGGAAAGATCCTACTTTTTCCTCTCATTTCTTAGGCCTCTAAAACTTTCTTTTTTTTTTTGATTTTTGTTTTTTGGTTGAACCCAAGGCCTTGGGCTTGAGAGACAAGCACTCTACTAACTGAGCTATACCCCCAGCCCTGCAACTTTCCCTGAGGCAATAACATTTAATGTGTTTACAGACCAAAAATCGACATCATTCATTTTTCTCACTTTTAGCTCTCAAAACCTACAGGGACTCCAGTAGCTGTCGCCCAAATGGATGCCGAGCCCAGGGTGTTTCCAAATCTGGGTCAGACTTCGGACCAAGGCAAAGATCTGTAGCTACTGTAGCCAGCGACCACACCTGGAGAGATGAAAGAGAAACACTCAGACTGATGAGGACAGGAAGAGAACCATGAAGGAACCCCACCTCCCCTCCATCTACAACCTAAAACCCTGCTATGGAGCGCATCGAAAGCTGGGAGCTTGCTCAAATGCAGAAGGTCCCGCTCAGACTGACCAAATCAGAATCTGCATTTTGTAAGATCCTCAGAGGACCTATATACACTATAAAGTTTGAGAAACACTAGCCTTAAAACATCATTAAAGGGCTGGGAATGTAGCTCAGTGGGAGAGTGCTTGCCTAGAACGTGCAAGGCCCTGGGTTTGATCCCTGGCTCTGGGTTTGATCCCAACCCTGGGGCCGCAGCAGGGGGAAGAGTTCATTAAATGAATTTCAGAGAAATGACTGCAATAATTTCAAGGTATTTTCTATTTAACACTAACTCATGAATTTCTGATGTTTGAGAGCATTCTGAATCATGTTGAATGAAGATCTGTCCTTTACCCAAATAATGTAACTTTTTTTGCTTTCATTATGAAAGTTTTAGTATACCCTCTGAAGCTAAAGAAGAACAGGTTGAGGCTAAACAGACCTGGCTTTCTTTTTGTTGATGCCAAATCTGGGGAATACCTCCAATCCTGACATCTCATGGGGCTTGGAATCATCAGCAAAAACTAATGTCCACTCAGTGTTTATTAAATCCAAGAAATGTGCTAAATACACCATGTTATAAACAAGCCCCCATCCCCTGATACTTGTATCAAATACTACTTTTAGAGAAATTTTTTCAGTAGTGATACATGACTGCAGCCCACTAATTGGAAAGCATTATTCTAGACTGAGAGAAGCTAAAAAGGGAGAAGATATTGACTTTGAATCAAGGAGTTTATAATATAAGAAGAAAGAATAGGCAAATAAAAATGCTGAAAAACAGAAACATCAGACATACAAAATCAAAATTACATGGCACCAACACACTTGAAAATGACACACAAGTGTTGTAGAAGAGAAAAAACTTGAAGTTTATATTCATGTCTGAATTAAGGACCCCCTTGAATGGCTGACTTGCTAGGGTGGGAAAGCTTTTCTACCCTGGCTGACAATTTAGCCACTTTACTTCCTCACTTTTTATTTTATTTTTTTAGAGAGCGAGAGCGAGAGCGAGAGATAGAGATAATTTTTTAATATTTATTTTTTAGTTCTCAGTGGACACAACATCTTTGTATGTGGTGCTGAGGATCGAACCCGGGCCCCACACATGCCCAACAAGCACGCTACCACTTGAGCCACATCCCCAGCCCTACTTCCTCACTTTAAATTATCATTTCTTCAACAGAAAGAGTGACACTTGCATTCATTTCTGCAGTTTTTGTTAAAACAGTAAACACATCATTTTCAACATGGGCATAAGGAACAATGAAAATTCTTCAAGCTTTCTCACTGATGTCATTCCTCTGTCCCGTTAAATCATACCAAGTTCACAAATGATGACAATGATAATTATAAGAATAGCAACAGTGACTGTACCACACAGTGGACCTTTTCCATCTGCCCATACAGTTATGAGACTTTACAGTTATTACATCATTCAGTTCTCACAGTGGCTTCTGGAGCACTGCTCCATTTTACAGTTGGAGTACTTGAGGTTTGCAGAGATTCGGTGCCTGGCCTAGGAGCACACAAGAATGCTGCAGCCCCAGGTTTGCCTGAAGACACGGTCCTCCCCAAGCATTTGGACTGCCTGCTCTACCAGGTCAATTCTGCCTATAAATTATTAAACACTTAAAAACAAAACAAACAAACAAAAAAAAACCAACACCTCTTTAAGAAGTAATTTTTCCTTAGAGGATGTTTTTTTCAGAACATGAACCTGGTCTGCCTTAATACTGCCTTCACCCATCTAATCTTCTCACCAACCACTTAAGGAAATTATTCTCAGGCTTCTCATTTTACAAACATCTGAAAGGCCTTAGTGTGAGGTAACTTGCCTAATTCCTCTGCTAGAAGGAGGTGAACCAGGCCTCCCGTGATAAATCCCACACTGCTTCTTCTATAAATAAAAAAATTCTTCTATAAAGAAATTTCTCTTGCTGTCTTCTTGCTGTGTACAAAATCTAGGTGTCTAGGGCCTTAGAGAAATAGGGTGTGATGGTGCACACCTGTAATCCCAGCAGCTCAGGAGGCTGAGGTAGGAGGATTCCAAGTTCTACGCCAACCTTGGTAACTTTGAGACCCTGTCTCAAAATAAAAAATAAAAAGGTCTGGGGATATGGCTCAGTGGTAGAAGAGCACCCCTGGGTTCAATCCCCAGCACAAAAAAAAAGGAAAGAATTAATTCATGCCTACATTTCTCTTATAAAGGTTTCAGGCAAAAACTTGACAGTATTTATTAGAAAATAAATGGAAATCTTAGGGATTTTTTTTTTTAATCAGATAAAAGCCAAGGAAAGGCCTGGTGTTGATTTGTTAGGAGGATTACAAGAAAAAATACCAAGCTAATAGGACAGCCTCTAATAATTTCCATTGTTCAATCTAATCCTCAGACTAAAGAATAAGGATGCAAGAGAGTCAGAAAGTAGATTAGTGGTTGACTATGTCTGGGGACAAGACGGGATTGAGAGGTGACAGCTGAGGGCATGGGGTTTCCTTTTAGGATAATGAAAATTTCCTAAAACTGTTTGTGGTGATAGTTGCACAACTTTGAATACACTGAAAACCACCAAATGGTAGGTTTTAACTGGGTAAATTGCATGTTATATGGACTATATTATAATACAGCTGTTTAAAAAACAATATAGACACTGTGCATGGTGGTACACAGTGTTAACCCAGTGACTCAGGAGGCTGAGGCAAGAGGATTGCAAGTTTGAGACCAGTCTCAGCAACTTAGTGAGACCCTGTGTTAAAATACAAAGTAAAAAGTACTGGGATGTAGTTCAGTGTTAAAGAGCCCCTGGGTTCAATCTCCAACATCCACCTACCCCCAGGCAAAAACAAACAAACAATAATAATAACAACAATACACACACACACACACACATATACACATACACACGTGTGTGTGTGTGTGTGTGGAGCAGCTTGCTTTCGTAAACTGATGTGTTCCTGCAAAGATGAAGGAAATTTAAATGTTTTTAAAGAATAAATCTTTTTTTAAAACCCAACATCAATACCTAAAAGAATGCTTTGGTAAATTTTTATGAATGAAGCTTTTTCCCCCTAGTGCTGGGGTTTGACTCCAAGCCCTCATGCATGCTAGGCCAGTGCTCTACCACTCAGCTACTTGAGAAACTAAGGCAGGAGGATCACAAGTTTGAGTCTAGCTTGTGCAACTTAGCAAGATCCTCTCCCCAAATAATATTAAAAAGGGCTGGAAATGCAGTTCAGTATGCAAGGGTTCAATCGCCAAAACCAAAAGAGAAAAAGAAAAAACAAAGAGGGAAAAGAAATAAGAATTGAAAGTGCAAATGGCAAAAATTACATACTCAAACTAGGTATGCAATGATTATTGTGGTACTGGAAGAGAAAAGAGATGTAGTTTAAAGAAAGAAAATCAGACTGGCCAAGGCAGGAGGATCCTAAATTTAAGACCAAAATGGGCAACTCAACAGGCAACTTGGCAAGATCCTCTCTCAAAAAATAAAAAGGGCTGGGGATGTAGCTTAGTAGTAGAGTACCTCTAGATTCAATCCCAGTATCAAAAAAAAAAAAAATCAGTAAATTCTTTAGGATTTTTCCAACTAACCATTAGTAAGAATGATGACAATAGTCAATGATCTGGGGTTTTCTGACCTGAGACTGGTCTCAAACTTGCAATCCTCTTGCCTCAGCCTCCTGAGTTACTAGGATTACAGGTGTGCACCACCATGCACAGTGTCTATATTGTTTTTTAAACAGCTGTATTATAGTATAATCCACATAACATTCAATTTACCCAGTTAAAACCTACCATTTGGTGGTTTTCAGTGTATTCAAAGTTGTGCAACCATCACCACAAGCAGTTTTAGAAAATTTTCATTACCCTAAAAGGAAACCCCATGCCCTCAGCTGTCACCTATCAATCCCTTCTTGTCCCCAGCCCCTAGTCAATGATCTGGGGATTTTGCTATAGATTAGCAAAGAAAACAAAACAAAAAAAAATTGCAAAACAGGAGGCAAAAATGTTGCTAACCCATGACTATCAAGTGACAACAACTTGGTCATAAAGGGAAATTTTTCCAAGCTGCACCAACAGGGAGGCATGTACCTGGACAAGATCCTTTCTTCCAACAAGCATGGCTGAAGCAGCGTTCTTCTGACATGTTTCCTGAATATCATTCACATTCAATCTGAAATTTTTAAAAAAGAGTAAAAAAGTGTCCTTCAGTCTAAGTTCCTAAGTCAATTCCTTCTGGTTTAATAGCCTAGCAACTGCCTCTTTGCTGTTCACTCAAAATGTTTTTCACTGTGTTGGCCTCAAGCTGCCTGCTATCTGATACTAGGATTAATGAGAGCTATGAGGGCTATGGGTTCTCGTCCAGGGAAGGTGAATTCTGAGTCAGGACAGGAAGCCAGACTCAAATGCTAATTTGTCAACCAGTTTTTATGTGAAGTTTCCAAGATTTAAAGGATTTAAATATGTGCAACACTGTGAACTAACAAAGAGCCTTGGGCTGTTAAAATAATACAAAATAAACACTTCTTGTTATGTGTTCAAGTTCAGGAAGAAGCAGGAGAACCACAGGCTAGCAAACATGCTGGTCACTCATCTCCCACTCCTCTTCAACCAAGGTGATGCCTTTGATTTGTTTTATATATTGGATATGAGAGCCAATTCTAAGATTCCTGTCCACTGCCATACATATCCTTCCTATGAAAGTGAATGGCACCAGTGAATATTGATGGGATGTTGCTCCTATGATTACATTATTAAGCACTGGACTTTGAGTTTGTCAAAAGGCAGACTATCCTGGGTAGGCCTTACTTAATCATCTGGGCCCTTAGAAGAGTCTATGAACCACTGCTGTTGGTCTAAAGAAGATGAAATTCATATGAGCATACTATAGCTGCAAGGATCTGAATTCTGTTAACAACTGAATAAGCTTAGAATAGGACCCAAGGCTTAGGAAGAGAACACCACCTGGCCAGTGTAATGATTTCAGCCAAGTGAGACCCTGGGCGAGGGTCCAGTGAAGCTATGTACAGACGGATACTGCAAGGTATGCTGTCTGAAGCTGCTAAGTCTGTAGTAATTTGTTACAAAACAAGAGAAAGCTAACACACTGAACTTCTACTAAAACTGCTTCTGAAGAAAAGCTTGCAACACTTACAAAAAGGGTTTATGGATCCTGACTAAGCAACAGGGGCAGTTTACTTGAACTCTTGAACTTACATGTACAGTTCTCCCAGTGATTTGTGAACAGGAAGGAGGCATGAAACATCTTGGATGATGACTTTCCCGGCAGCCTTGATGGGTCGATTGCCAGAGTCTGATCCCTCGCGCTTACTTTTCCACCTCCTTGATTTCTGGGGGAGACGACAAGAGAGAACTAATGAGGACTTTGAAGAGTGGAAACCTAGAGTTGCAGAGCATATCATATTTGGGTCATTGGTAATTCGCAGAAACTTTAAATTATATCATGCCCACAATTACATGAATCAGCATCTGTAGGAAATAAAAGGATGACAAAGGGACTGACCTTGTGATCCAAAATCCTAACAGGAAAATAGGCACCAAATGCAGGACTAGCTGCATTCTGCAGGTGCTCAAAACGAGATACCAGGAAGCCATAATTAATCAATTAATTAAGACAGCAGGTAAATAAGTTAGTAAAAGGCCCCAAAATGTGGGAGAAGAACAAATTTTAAGATTGTTAAAGTACTAGGTTCAAAGTTCTTGCCTGAAACTAATCAAAGGTGTAGGTGTGTGTGTGTGTGTGTGTGTGTGTGTGTGTGTGTGTGTGTGTGTGTGTGTGTGTGTTTCTTCTTCTCAGACAGGTTCAACAGGGTTTGTTGAAATTTTAATTTAAGAAATTTTTTTAAAAAGAAATTTTAATTTAGACATATCAGTGTAGATTCTGCAAACCTTAATCTATGAAGGAAGATAGAAACTTGGCAGCTCAGGAATATTTCTAGCAACTTAAATAATTTCTAAAAGTGATCATTTTAGGAAGCCAAAAATGAGTCAGGGGATTATATAATGGACATGAGAAATCATGAGCAAGGGTCCCAATTCCCCAGAGCCACTCCTGTGTGAAATGGGAAATGTCCTGGAAATCCAGAATTATTAGAGTGCAGCTCCATGTGGTATCTTCAAAATGACAACCAACCACAGGAGCAGTAATCTATTTTATTTCCAGAAGTTCAAAAGAGATCACCAAACTGGTTCAAAACTAAGGAATGGAGAGACATACTTATTAACAAAGAAGGGGAAAGGAACAAATGAATAGGGCCTGACATCTGGATTTAGAAAACCACAATTAACTGGTCTTATTACCACATGTACTGTTCAATATGACCCTGGGTAAGTTAATTATCTACTGTGGATTTAGTCTCATGTATTTACTCTTTGTTCACAGATAACTTGGGGCCAGTGATGGACTCTGCTATCAATCTCATGAGGTCAATAAGGATACAATGTAACAATATGGGTGCACACCAAAAAATGCAACCTAAAAATATATAATTAATATGAATATATAAACTCAGGAATCTAAATTAGATCATTATTTGATTACTCACAAATTCATTCTTTGCAAGTGATTTTTTGGCTGGGGCTGGGGTGGTACTGGGGATTAAACTTGGGGTGCTTACCCACTGAGCCACATCCCCAGCCCTATTTTGCATTTTATTTAGAGACAGGGTCCCACTAGGTTAGTGCCTCACTGTTGCTGAGGCTGGCTGTGAACTGGCGATCCTCCTGTCCCAAGCCTCCCAAGCTGCTGGGATTACAGGCATGCGCCACCATGCCTGGCTGCAAGTGTTTTATACAATCACTTATTCATGAATTACTCTTGGATTAAATCCAGGAATTCTGACCACTGATGTCCCATCTAATCCAAAGGTGCCAAGTGCATATAACTTCCTAAAGGATTAATACATGTCTTGGAACATATTAAATGTAGGACACCTGGACTTAGTTTCAGGCAGGCACACCATAATGTAGTACATATGCTTCACTATCAGATTGGAACCTTAACCCATCTGAGTTTAAGAAACTCTGTTACTATTTACTACTTAACAAGTCATTATTCTTCAACACAAGGGGATGCCTAATCTATTCTGTCGGGTAGCCCTTCATCTCTTCATGTCCTGGTTCTTTCCAAAAGAAGGATTATGGGCATACTCACAAACATACTATCCTTTTAGCCACAAACATCCTGACTTGGAAGCAAGTGAAGGATGGACATGTTGAAGAGTAAACAACCTGTCATGGGAGCAGGCAGTGTTAACTGACGTAAGATGGACATAGTTATGTGCACTCAATACTATGCACAACTTGCTGGAGGGACGGTAATTTCATGTACATGTACCTGCAGTGACAGTGAACAGTATAAGGTGCTTCACTAGCTGGGAACAACATACCCACAGGTCCCACACAACTGACCATCTCAAATAAGACTTAGGGTACTGGATTAAGAAAAAACCTTATGCTAAAAAGATTCCACCTGGAATGGAATATGATCCATCTAATTTGGTCTTCCGAGTTGTTGGAAGGCTTCTAAAATACTGTTGCAGGAAGTCACTCTGGCTCCTTATTATAAAGAGAAAATGAGAAGCACTTGAGCAATCGAGCAACTCAGGATAGTTCATTTAACGACACAGCTTAAATAAATGGAGGCCTCGAGAAGGATCAGGCCTACTAGCTTTTAGAACACACTGAAAATAACCACAATTTCCTGGTTTTTAAAGCAAACAACAACAACACATTATTAATCACATGAGGGCTCATGTGCCAAAAGTGGTTCATTTGCAAGTAGATTAGTTCATTTAGAAACTGACAATGAAACAAGTCCAAAGAGTACAAATGTTTGGCTTAGGATTTAAAGTCTTGTCTGTTGTTATTACCATCATGTTAATCCCCACTGGTGGCCTGCTCGCTCTGGGCTGGGCACCTCACTGCAACTCCATGATATAGTGAGGATGTGGGGCTTATTCAAGGTCATGGTCATCTAGCTGAGATTTCAACAGGCCTGTCATTCTTGTTAACTTTTTCCCTCTTCACTGTATATGATTCTAGATTAACCAGGAAAAAAAATTTAAGACCTGGCTAAGATACCTGTTAATAATGTAAATAGTTTGGTCCACTTTTAAATGAATCCATTTCTGCGTGTAAGAAGATTCACATTTGATCCTCGTGACGCCTGCTCCCATATCATCCTTCCACATCAATCCTTCTGCAGTCACTTCTCCTGAGCATCATGACTGCATCCAGCTAAGTCAGAGTGGTCAGCCTGCTGCAGCTCCTGCAGCCACACAGCTTTCAATGGGGCAAGCAGACTCAGAACATGACACTGTTACTTCAGGCTGGATTTCAGTGTCTGCACCGCCAAATCTCCTTTCATGGATTTGTTAAGACTGAAGAAAACTTGGGAGTTCAAAGAAATGTCTTAGGACTGTTCCCCAATTTGCAGTCTTGGGTTACAAGATCAGTAGAAATACAGTAATGTGAGTCATCAATAAATACTTGATGAAAATACTGGCAGCGGTCTTTGACAATTTTTTGTAACTATTCCTATTGAATTATGGAAATCATGGTCTGTGTTTCCTGGGACATCTGGAGACACCAGCCCTCGAGGATTTAACTTGGATCTGTACTGGATGAAGAGGAGGTCTTCATAGAACTTCACTCAGTTGCCTCTCAGGCTTCAAAAGAAGGGGTTCCCCAAAATGGGATCCTCCTAATTCCTGCTACCAGGAATCAAGCTGTCAAAGCAATTATGGAACAGTGCTAGTAGTTTTCTTAATCCAGCAAGGAATGACTACAAAACAATGTCAAAAATCCTTAAAAGGCTACGCTACAAAATAGTGTTGGTATTGTGTATTTTCAAATTTGTTGACTAAGAGTTTAAATATGACATATTTCCCTTTCAGCCTACAAGGGTCACTCAGCAATCATGTCTAATGGCCAGTTATTCTGGAGATTTAAATACAAGATTGCCTAAATGACAATATGCTATATCTCAAATGAGATGTTAATTGGGGCCTTGGGTCCTCGTTGCTCCCTAACAAGAAGATGGACAATTTTTCAGGCTGTTTCTTCCAGGGCCTAAGCAATAAAAAGCATTCCTGCTCCACTCACATTTTCCCTAAGAATGCTTTTCTCCTTAACATCTTACGGGACATTTTAAGAGGCTCTCGACTTAGCAACTGTCAGGTAACAACACATGGATTTCTCCCAGGATTCTTTGGTTTCAGATAACAAAGGCTAAGATGTGGTTACTCTGTCTGGGGTAAGGAAGGGCACTGTGGGGTAAAAGCTCCTGCCCCTCTTGCATTGCTCCAATCTCACTCTGATGGGCTTTAGTGTGGAGACTTCTCTGTGAGGTAGAATTGGTACCTCTGGGAGAAAAGGATTGTGCATTTCTCTTAGGTCTTTTCAATGATCCACCAACACAAAATGCCCTTCCCCACAGATTTCATGAGAAGGGACTGAGGGAAGAGAGACAAAGCAAGACAGACAAAATATTACGTGATGAGCTCCAGGATGTCCCTCTGAACATCCCAGGAAGGTGTTCATGGATTACGGCAAAGAGGACAGAAAAGAAGGGTGGGGGGAAGGAGGCACTGGTGCTAATAGCACTGAATGACAACCAATAGCCAGCTCGCGACTGTACCACCAGTGTTACTGCTACAATTGGAGGCAACATCAATGCCAGAAAATGGGTTAAATGTAAAAACAGCCCAAGAATAAGCCACCAACTGCTTCGCAGCAACCCCATCAACAATAAATAATCAGCAGAGTGGGCAGTGAGTCAAAATGAGTTCCTATTTAAAGAGCAGCAGAAACGAGGACTTCTGGAAAATCAGTGGAAATTCAGCAGTTGGGTTGGCTGGAATCGGCTTTTTGAGGAAAGGTGGCCATATTGGTGGCTCCACCTGCATGTTGTTGGCAGCAGAGGTTGGTACCTGCTAATCCAGCTCCTGATTTCAATAGGTGTTTATGAATAGGCTAAAGGACTGTCCTCTAAACATTCTTTATACCAAACAAAATTTACACAGAGCCTCAAGGCTGCCTTGAGGTCACCTTGGCACTACTGAAACATGAAGGGAATGGGTGAGGAAGACAGAAGAGGGGAGATGGCCAATAGGATGAGCCAGAAAGGAAGAAGGGGAGGGGACATCTGCAGTAGAGGTTTTAATGTTAATGTAAAATACTGAGGCTAAGGGAAAAATTTATTCCAGATAATTCCTGAAGGATAAAACTAGCTTATGTATCCTGCCAATGAAGCAGGTGGGAAACTTTCCCTCTCAGAACCAGACTGAGACTATGAAAACAGAGACTAAATGGCAGAAGCCTCTTATATCTTCCTCTGCTCCCCACATGCCAAAGGTAGGCTTTTGAAAGCTCCATGGAATTAGACAAAAGCTCCAAGTGAAATCAGGGGAGCTAAAGTCCTTTAATCAGGGTTCCTCCCAAGAACCCAGTATTGCTTCATTTGCAAAGGACTCCAGTCGTGACCTGGAACGGTGTTCAGCCACTGGAAACACTGAACTGAACCAGAAGGCAGTCCTCAGTGCCTGACTCCCCAGAGTGAAGGGCTCACTTCTGCTGGTCCCGAAAACCAGCCAGCCTGTCATTTCAGGTTCCTCAAAGCCAGGCAGGTGGCATTTTATTCTTGGGCCTTTGGGTAGAGACAGGATTAGTTAAGGAGAGCATTTGCACAGCGCACAGTACCGGGAAGTCGTTAATTGCTTGTATGGACCAACGTCGCCGGGCAGAGCGAGGAGACATCTGTGCGTGAAAACGTTACACCCAGGAGGAGGGAAGAAAAACACCAAGAAAATTAAAAGGGAAAAATATAGAATAAAATGAAAGCTTCCCACACATCTGATGGATTAAAAGGTATATATACTGCAAAACCGGAATTGGAATGACGAACACTTGTGAACCTCAGCACAGCAGGTTTTGGATTTCCTCGCCTCCCCCCACGCCTTCACCTTCCAAGCCCACCTTTGGTTTCATCCATCTTCAGTCACATTTCAGGCCTACGGAGGCTAGTGTCAACTCTGACAAAGAAACTACGAGAAGGTCCGAGGTAGGAAGGACTAAGGTCATAGTGCCAGGGAGGAACAGGAGAAGATTCTTCCCCTCTGACAGGTGAGAAGGAGAATGTGTTCAGAGTATATTCTCATTCCCCAAATGGAAGACATTCTCCATAACCAATTTGGGGGAGGGTGTGATTGGGGGAAAGGAGGGAAATGGGTGTCATGACACAGGGACTGCAGGACTATTTTCAGAGCAAGGTCAGGGAGAAGGGAGAGCCCTGGAGAACTGAGGGGAAGGTGGGGAACTAAGCTGAGGAGGAACATTCTTGCTAACAAGAGCACCTGAGCATGGAACTGGGAGCAAATGACACTGATTATGGAGATCTCTAGTTACTCTGCTAACTGAAAGACCTCCCCAGTTATTTATATCAGAGCTATTTTGGTAACATAAACCGAAACAAAGATGAGAGGCTGAGAATTTTTTTTTTTAAATGTCTGTAGGGCAACCTAATGTTTACCTTAAGTTCTGGGCCTTCTGATTTATTCTAAGCATGCATGACATTTTATCAGCGATTAACAGCTGGTCTACTTGCCAACTTCATTCATGTTAGCATCTCTGTGCTTTCTGAATTCCTATGAAATTTGAGAGGTATTTAGGTCTCTTAACATTTTTAAGTTTTTAGGAGCAATCCTTGGAATTCCATCTGGAGAACACTGGGGGAATATACAATCCAACCTAAGTAGGTCAGGTTGAAAACACAAGAGAAGCAAACAGTCGTTTCTAAATGGCTCTATAAATATCCTTTGCAATCTCAAAAACACCCTGTAGCCAGGTGTGGTGGCACATGTCTGTATCCCAGCAGCTCAGGAGGCTGAGGCAGGAGGATTGAAAGTTCAAAGCCAGCCTCAGCAACTTAGTAAGGCCTTAAGTAACTCATTGAGACTCTGTGTCTAAATAAAATATAAAACAGGGCTAGGGATGTGGCTCAGTGGTTAAGTGCCCCTGGATTTGCTCCCCAAGCATACAGAGGCTAATGTCAACACAACTCTGACCAAAAAACTACTCTCTCCACCAAAAAAAAACCCTGTAATTCCTTCATTTCTAGGTCATAAAATTGGCTTTTTTTTTTTTTTTTTTTTTGAGATGGAGGTTTCGCCTTGTTGCTGAGGCTAGTCTTAAACTTTTGGTCCTCCTGTCTCAGCCTCCTAAGTAGCTGGGATAATAGGCATATGCCACCATGCCTGGAGCAGGCATATTCTACTCCTTCATTCTCCTTCATTTATTTTATTTTATTTTTTTAGTATCAGGGATTGAATTTAGGGGCACTCACCCACTGAGCCACATCCCCAGCCCTATTTTGTATTTTATTTAGAGATGACAAGGTCTCATTGAGTTGTTTAGCACCTCACTTTTGCTGGAAGTGGCTTTGAACTCACAATCCTGCCTCAGCCTCCTGAGCGGCTGGGATTACAGGCGTGTGCCACCACACCAGGCCATTCTCCTTCATTTAAAACTCTTGTGGTAGAGATCTAAAAGGGAATAAAAGTATGCAGGAGAAAAAATGGGGCACCAAAATATGTGGTAAACCGAAAAGTTTCCAGGACAAAACAATAAAGTGATACTATTTGACAGGTGAAACTAGACTCCTTCGGACTAGAAAATGACCCTCAAGATGCAAGGGCCTCTGGTAGGAAGACAAAGCCGCCTGTGTAGGACACTGTGGAGTATTCCACTGCTTTAATCCCGGCTCTGACCTATTTAAATAGGATGGACATAAACAAGTGTTGAGAGCCACAGCCTAAAGGGCCCCAGCAAACTTCCAGCTGCCAGCTGATGATTGGCTCACAGCCGCCCCCAGCAAACTTCTAGCTGCCAACTGATTGGCTCCTCTGCGGTGATGCTCATTGGGCTGTTTCCCAGCCCTTTCAGACCACGGAGCTGCTCATTGGGGGCCTTTTTTTGGCTCGGCCCACGCGATCCAGCTAATCTGCCTCAAGAGCAGGAGGAGTGGGGGAGGTTGAGAGGCTTGTGGGAAGCCGGTGGTGGCAGTTGGGCTCTGAGGGTTTTCCTGAAGAGCTGTGTGGTGCGGTGTATGTGTTCTAAAGAAAAAAAAGTCCCCCAGTGAGCAGTTCCAACTTCTGAAAGGGCAGGGAAACAGCCCAATGAGCATCACCGCAGAGGAGCCAATCAGTTGGCAGCTAGAAGTTTGCTGGGGCCGCTGTGAGCCAATCATCAGCCGGCAGCTGGAAGTTTGCTGCCAGCTGTAAGTTTGCTGGGGCCCCTTCAGCTGTGGCTCTCAATTAACAAGCTTCAAGGAAGGTAAGTTTATTTCAAATTCAACACAAAATAATGACTTACTCATTCTTGCCTTCTTAAGCTAATACGTTGAACCACACAAAACTATTCTTTAGATCCAAAATGATCAAATATCAGCAATTTCAAATGATTTACCCTAATAATGATTACACATCATCCATTACAATGTGTTTCCCCTCCCCAGGGCCTCTGAGGGTCTTAAGATGTTCTATTACATGCTTAAGATCTGTGAACTTTTCTATATAATATTTTATACATCAGAATAAAAATTTCCTGTGAGATTATAATCATAACAACCTCCCATTTTAAATGGTCACTACTTAAAATAAAACCTAAATACCACTAACTATGTCAAACAAGGGTACTATAATGGCCCATCTTCTGTGGAGAAGCTGCACAGTACGAACTCCCCCAAACTGAAATATCACGTTCCATCCTCTATCCCCAGCAGATACTATCTGCTAGTTTGCAGATGCTTTGGTCCCTCTTTATGATAGTGGTGGAGTAAAAAGGGCCAGAGCATTGTAAACAGTAATGTAGGCTTTACCACTACTTCTGCAGGAGGAGAGGTCCCATCTGGGAACAGAGGCTTTCAACACTATCACAAAGTCAAAAGTGCTAGTCACTCTACTCTGCCCAATCCCAGCCCAAGCATGGTAACACATGGCATAAACTGAGAGGAATTCAGAATCGCCCTGACTAAAAGGTCTCCTCGACCTGGCCCTGATGTCAAAAAAAATTCTCACCTAAGGACTGCTGGGTATAGCTCAGTGGGAGAATGCTTGCTTTGCATGTAGGAGGCTGGGTTTGATCCCTAGCACTACAAAAATAAATAAGAGTCACATTTAGTTAACCATGAGTTTATATGGCTTGTATGGCAATAAAATGTCTCTTTCTAAGCAATTTATCAAATCATCTATCCAATTACATGCTAACTTGTAAAAAAAGAGCTAAGAATTTTTAATGTAAAGAGCTGGGGGAAGACATAGTTTGGAAGATGTTCCAGGGAAGTCTGTGCCAGCCAGGAGCTGTGTGGAAGGGGACTGTAGAAAGCTAGACAGGAGGCAACAGAAAGTCATTTTCCCTATTTAACTGAGTGGTTTACCTAAGACTAGTCAGATCAGTTGCTGCCATTTGTTTCAGTCACAAGTAACCCTGAGACTAGTTAAAGGCAGAGCTGGTCAGGCTAGCAGTACAAGACAACGGTGGACAGTATCCTGCAACTGGAGTGAAGGCACTTCTAATACGTGATAGAAATTCATTTGTTTTTATATTTAAAATCATTAAATTTTTTTAAAAAGCAAATTTTAGTTAGAGACAATTCACTATTTCTCATTTTAGTGGGGGAAAACAACAAAGAATTCCTAAGCGCTGAGTTTATGCAGTAGCTCAGTGATAACTCTTTACCACATCATGTCATCAACTAAAGCCTGTCATGCCAGACTTTCAATCTGACAACCCCAAAAGAGTTCTTTTAATCAATTATTCCAAAGTTCTGCCACCATTCTCTCCACTGTTGTTACCCAAGGTTCTTGCCAGCACAAGAAGAACTGCTTTCAGGACAGTGAGTTCCTTAAGAAC